TTCAAGACTCAAGGAGTTTGTTGGCGGCAGCGACGCAACTGCCTTGCCGCCTGCTGCGCAAAAGCCATCGAGACACGCTCCCCACTCGCCTGCCCACCTCCGTGGGTGGCAGGGGAGGCCGCCAGGGCCGACTCGGGGATTTCAAATCCAGAAGCGGTGCCAGACCAACCTGGGAACCGGGTCTGGATAGCCGGGCAAACCTCAGCTGCTTTTGGCAAGCCCTCCCCGTCGACCAGCTGCGACGTGGCTCTTATCAGCCGCGCTGCCCTCCTGCCCCAGCAGCGCAATTAGCAGCTTTATTAAACCTTGGAAATCGCTGAAGCAGAGGGATCTGGTGGAGGCTGTCAGCAGAATCGCGGCGCTGGTGGTATGTAAAAAAACGTGGCAGGTTTAAAACTTTCGGAGCAACGCCTCTCCGTGCTGGTAACGCCTGCCTGGGGGCTAATTCCTCCTGGTTGCCCTTGCCTCTCTCCCCCAGGATATCTCCTCCTTCCAGCACCTCCTTGCTTGTTGAAGGCCCGGTTCTGCTGCTTGCTGCTCCCACAGCGCAGAATCGCGGCGCTGGTGGTATGTAAAAAAACGTGGCAGGTTTAAAACTTTCGGAGCAACGCCTCTCCGTGCTGGTAACGCCTGCCTGGGGGCTAATTCCTCCTGGTTGCCCTTGCCTCTCTCCCCCAGGATATCTCCTCCTTCCAGCACCTCCTTGCTTGTTGAAGGCCCGGTTCTGCTGCTTGCTGCTCCCACAGCTGATGGAATTAGTGGTTGTGCAAAGCCCTGAGCTGACACGGATCTGGGTCTCCCTATAGCAAGGAGATGGGGGTTCTCACCCCTAACACAGCACGAGGCAGAGGTGCTGGGTTTGAGATCCCTTTTAAACCCACTGTTCTAGCTTCGATTACAAAGATAGCCGTGTTTTCCAAGCAAGCCTGTGCTTAGCCTCCCCCTCTCTTCTGCCTCTGATTTGTTTCCTTCTGGGAAAGAAGAAGGAAAGAAGAGGGGGACCCTGACCTGGTCCCTGAAAGCGGAGGGGCTGGGGAATAAAAGCAGCCCTGATCCCACATCCCACCGCTTCACAAAGCAGCACCTCCTGCTAGCGTCCCCCTGGGAAGATGGTGGCGGCTCTGCTGACCAGCAGCAACCATCTCTGCTGGGTTAAACCACCCGGTGGGTCTGTCCTGAGACGCTCCCAGCCAGCACGAAGTCAGCTAGAGGGACCCAAATCAAAAAAGGGAGAAGGCTGCCCTGCCTGTGCGCTGCCCGGGCAGCGGTGGGTGGTGAAGGCAAGCCCTGATGTGGGGCCGGGCTGGACCGTGAGGTCCTCGCTGTGCACGGGGAGCCTCCCTGCACGCTCCAGCACCAGCAGTCTGTGGGGTGAGAGCGTTGGCCACAACGATAATAACGACCCAGAGGAACGACGACCGCAGCTGCGGGATGGGAAACCACCCAGGGACGATCGACCCGCGGCGATTCCTTGGCTGATTCCAGCCATCAGCTCCTCCAAGTCTATAATCACTTCCCAGTCGAGGTCATGAGGGAAAAAACCACCCCAGCGGTTAATGCCTCGACGGCCGCTCCCCTCCGTGCTCTGAGCCCGGGGAGCGGAGGTGAGGAGAGCGACTTTGGCCCGTTCGTCTCAGCCCCGCGGGAGTCCAGCTCTCCGCAGCCTTGAGCTGCGTCAGTCAGCGTTCCCTCATCGGCTTCAGCACGCAGCTGCCCCGAGGGAGCTGGAAGATGCTTTTCAAACCCAAACCTGCGTGCGCCTTCCGGAGGAGATTCACGTCTCGGCCCTCTTTTAGCTTCTTACCGTGGCTCTGCTCAGCCCTCCTGTCTGTACAGAGGGGGATCAGAGTATCTCGCCCCCTCCCTGGGCTGACTGAGCCACGATTAGTATTTGCAAAGCTCCTTACGCTTTTCGGGACAAAAGAGAGGCGGAGAAGTCTGCTGGGCCAGATCCAGACTCCCACTGCTCTCCGGCTTCAGCCCACAGCGGAGGGGAGCTGGGCTGGAAGCGTTGGGATGTGACCTTACAGGTCTGGAGGCCAGAAAGGACCAGTGCCGAACGCACTCCTCTGGACTAACTGGGGACACTCAGCGCAGCCCTGCAGCCTGGGAGCCTCTGCTCTGCAAGGCCACCTTGCCCCTTGCTTTTGGAGGAGCCTCGTAGGTCCAGCATTTGTCCAGCCAGGAGCTCCCAGCTCCACGGAGAGCATCGTGCAGCACCTCGTGCCCTGAATGAGCCCTTCCCCACCGCCCCGGCAGCGGTTCTTACCACGCCTGAGCCCCGCTTCATCCAGACGATGGTGAGAGACGGGTTCCCAGTCCAGGCACAGTTGAAGACCGCGTCCGAGCCCAGGTCAACGAGGAGGGACTGTGGTTCTGTGGCCATCCTGGGCCCAACTGCACAGAGGAGACCAGAGTTACTCCCAGGGGTGGGCTGTGTCAACCAGCAACCCTCAAACCAAAGAGGGCAGCGTGACAGGGGAAGCAGCGGTAGGTCTTGACGGACCTATGGGCACGTAAGACCCCCAAATAAAGAAAAGCCTGAGACAGGTGCCTGCTGCAACCCCAGAACAACCAGCTCCCACCACGAACTGGGCGCTCCTAAGGCAGGAAGAAACCACGGGTCCCACCACCAGAGCATTTACAAAAGGTGGAGCTGCCAGAGAGCCCAGCGAGTCCTGGTCGCCCTGGGCAAGTCAAATCTAGCCGTGTCCCCCTCCCGTCCCTTTTCAGCAGCTCTGCTGGCCCTGCTTAGCCCTGGGCAGCCACTCTCAAGCCGAGAGGTTACTCACAGTAGACATCCACGGTCCTGCTGATGTTCGTGCTGCCCAGCGCGTTGGTGACCTCGCAGGAGACGGGCTCGAAGAAGAAGGTGTGGTCCACGATGGTTTCGTAGAAGTCGCCGGACGCTTCCTTTATAACCTGGCCTTTTTTCGCCCACCTGTTGGGGAAAAAAAAAGAGCATCGTGGTGGCGGTTTTGCACCGCTTGCCGGTTAACACGCGTGTGACGGTGGAGACTCGCTCGCCCAGCTCGCAGCTGGTAGTGCTGAGGGGCAGGAGGACATAGGGCACCCGCTGCTGCCCTTGACCCATCCTCGGCATGTCCACGTCCCCAGGGATGTAGGGATTATAACTGCGGGTTCTGGAGAGGAGACATCAAAGCGATGCCTACGTATACCCCCACTGAAACCTTCCCAAAACAACCCAAAAATCGCCGTTTCCCCGTGAAAGCCTGTTTCACTGGAAATTCCTTAGGATTGTGGGGCACGGGTGGAAGACCTCAGTGATAGGAGGGATGGGACACGGAAAGTCTCTGCTGATGGAGAACCACAGAGCCAGGAGATCAGTCCCTTTCCAAACGCTTGCCAACCAACACTGCTGGTCCTTCCCCATCAAAACCATTAAAAAAACCTTTTCAGCAGCCGCCCACTTTCACCCTTTTCTTCCCTTTTTTTTTTTTTTTTTTTTTTTTTTTCCCCAATCAAAGAGAACTTTATCCCTTTAAGGCAGCTGAAATAACATTACCCTGAAAAGCCAAGCTGGCATTTGCAACACCATAACTTGCAAATTGTCTCGAAGAACAAGCTGTCAACTCAGCACTTGAATTAAGCCGCTGTTTGCCAAACAATGAGCAAATGTGACCTAATGGGGCACCATCTGGCAACCTGCCACTCCGGAGCGGGTGGGAAAGACAGGAGAGGCTGTCAGGCGGCGTGAAACTCCAGCCGCTCTTTCAGGGAAGGGAAAGAAAGCGCAGGCAGCGGCTTGGGGAGAAAAATAATCATAATCCTCCTCAAACAACTGACAGGTAAACCAGAGGGAAGAGGGTTTCCTCGAGGAATCTGCCCATGTTGTCTCGGGGCCGCCCTCCACTGGTTGCCCTGGGTGTGTTGGGACGTTTGGGGAATGATGGAGCTGGCCTTGCCCCATCAGGTGCTGGAGGGATGAGCCGTGGATGCTGCTTCCCACGCGGGGTCAGTGGGGGGGGTTTGGGGGAGCTGTCCCCTCCAAGGGAAACAGCATCGGCCTGTGGTCCTCCCGCGGGTCTCCTGCTCCCGCCCGTACTGCTCCCCTCTGCCCGTTGCCACCGCTCTGCCGGGGGTTCCCCTTGCTTTGAGGCCAGAGTCGCACTGCCCCGAAGGCCACCAAAGACAACCGGAGCTCCAGCGAGCTCCCGCAGAGGTTCTCCAGGCCCAGGCTCCGCGGCAGGCTGGAGAACCCTCTGACAGCGCTGCTGGAGCAAATTCCCCCGGCGCCCGCTAACGGGAACCTAACTGAATCAGGAGGGCTGACCTGCAAGGCTTCACCCCCCCTCCATGTGATGACACAAGCGTTTGCAAAGAGATGTCTTAGAGGAGCAGACGTGAGCTGATTTGTATGCGCTTCTCTCCTCTCTCATCCCATTTATCTTTGCGCCTCTAACAGATGCTGACTGGCCACTTCAGCTTCCCTCCCCTCCCTTCCTCCCCGGAGTTCCCCTTCAATAATTAATCAGGAGAAGCCGCTTTTATTTCTCAGGCTGCGCTTCGAAGGAGGTTCCTCGTATGGCAAAACCAGCACAAGCTGGTCCAGGTGCTGCTCCAAAGGTTGGAGCGGGCCACGATGCTTTGGTGACGCCTTTCTCCTTCCAGAGGGAACTGCAACCCAAGCCGAGAGGTTGGCCACGCTTCCCTGCCTCCCCAAGGGCTCTGCCTTGCCCCGCTGCCTCCCTGCCGCAGGAACGATGCTGCCCATCACGGAGAACATCTGCCAGCGCCACGGCAGCGGCAGGGGG